GCGATTGGCCGCTTTTTACGTGAGTTATTCGCGAAAACCTGAGGGGGGTTGCATCCCCCTGTGCCGGCGAGGGTTAACTTAGCCTGGCACAAAAAAGATATGCATTGTTATTGACGGCGCACCGTTAGATCTCCTGCTATGCATCTGCTTCGATACCCGTTTCGTTCAAGAGGTTGTATTTGCATATCATTGGGCGTGAACATACGAAAGGTGCATTATGCATTCACGGGGGAGGATGTGCTCCTCCGGGTGCTCGATATACGGGCCTAGTTTGTGAATGTTGTGTGAAGAGGAGTTGGACGTAAAGCCGTGAGATCCGCGAGCGGAGGCACCTCCGGCTGAAGTCTCCGTTCCACGACAGTGCCTTCAATGCACCCGGGGGCTCTCCAAAGCGCCGCGAAGTGCGTTCCGTTTGTTAGCAGAAGAAGATGGGGGTGTGCCTTTTCCGAATGTTCCAAATGCATGCATGGAAAACTTGGTGGCTTTGGCATATGTAAACTGTCGCTCTTATTAGTTTTCAAATATCACAACCCTGATCCCAGTTAGATAAGATACAACGTATCCTGTTCTATCAGTAACATATTTGTCTACTCTATTCCAAAATCACAGCGCGGAGAGAGGTGCCCCGAGTTAGGCCTTGAGCTTCTGCACCAATCTCCGATTTACTCTTTCTTTCCAGTACTTTCTGTTCAATAAATATCATCTTCACAGCCTATTTCTAAATGACATTGTGTGAAGCTATTCTAGAGCACACGGGTGTAAAGCGGAAATAAGTTCTTGTCATACCTGCAATGACAGATGCATTTTCCCAGTTCCGAAGTCATAATTTTCACCCGTCAGACTGATTTTAAAAGAGTGACGGTTTTGTTATAGTCTGATCTTATGGTAATTATAATGAATGCACGTAATTAAAAGGCTGCGACAAAATAATAGCGGTGGAAACAGCAGTAGCTACTTATTTATATATTGCACATATATATATTTATTCCTGCTTTAAGACGTAAAGTCTATGCGTAAAGAGAATTCAAACAAGAAACACTATCCGTACATAGCATAAACCTAGCAGCGCGTAAAGATAGTAGGTTTTGTCAGGATCGCACATTTGCATCTCTCTCGGGACATGGCCGTCCTGAGGGCACATCAGTCCCTGTCCGAGCCTGTGCCATCCGTTGTCCACATCCGTGTTGTCCGGACAGCTGGTAGGAGCTCGGGCAGGCTCCCGGAACACGATCAAGGGACGAGTCGTGCGGACCGTGACACGACCATCAGAAGAGGAGGCGACCAGACGCCCGCGCTCACCGGACCCTGGGTCGAAACCAGCTGGTCCAGAGCTAGTTCTCGATTTGACTTAACACTGGTTGTCTCGGGCTCAGCTCCATTTCGTCTCCGTTACTCCTCTTTTTTTTCTGTTCATCCCGACTCCGTCTCATTGCAGTGCCATGCTTTGTCGCGTGTCCATCTCATCACCATGTCATATTTCGTCCGTCGCCCTCCCTTCCCCCTGCATTTCATGATTTTTTCTTGCGCGGTTCTTCATTTATAGGATGTTTACAAATGCAGAAAGAGTCATTTTTTCTGTGAGAGGCTGTTTCCGATACGGACTGAATCATAGATCATGGTTGGATCACGAAATTACTCAGGTTTGGCTCAATTTGGAAGCTTATGCATAAGTGCAATGGTCTTCAAAGGTCTATTTCAACTATTTTAATGTTGTTTTTTCAATAAAAAGAATCAGCTGGCCTGATTAACAGTGAACTATATTTCTACAATCGCAAGGAAGCCTTTTCAAAATACGTTAACGTCAGAGAAAAATACTCAATATTTCACTGGACGACTTAACTGTGCGGGCCGGGCCTATGTCCCTCGCAAAGTTGGAGTCGGTCAAACATCGAAGGTGTCTACCTGAAGTCGAAACTCACTTTAAAAGTCCAGATTGCCGAGGTGAGGTGTATGTCTCACCTCATCGCCGAGCGACGTCTCATTCTCTGACGTACCAGAGTCCATAACCAAAGTGGGACTCGGGCGACCCGGTCCGGCTCTCCACCTGGCTGATCTCTGGTCCGGCGAGTGCCCTGCCGAGACGGGCGCAGCTCGGGCCCAGGGGACGGCAGGGCTGCCGCGCGCCGTCGCGTCGGTCGGTGACCCTGTCTGGAGGCCGGTCCGACGTCCCAGTCCGGCTCACGGCTACGTGACCACGCGCACCACGTGACCGGCGCCTCACGGAACCGGCCCGACAGAAGGGGCGCGCGGAGAGACGGAATGGGCCCGAAGCGGTGGACGCTGGCAGTGCACAAACGCGACGCGAGCTTTTTTTTTTTAAATTTCGTGGCTGTATTCAAAATAGTGAGTCATCCCTTGCAGTTTTGCTTTACAATGAATTGCCAGTTGATCAGGTTCGATAAATGAGCATTTCAACAGCGAATGCGTGAAAGGACAAACCATTGATGTAACAAAAGCTATCTTGCATTCACGGAACGTATCATCTCGGGTGAGATCAAACGGACTGGACATCAAAACGGCAGGTGGTTAAGAAAAGTTCGCATGCATCCAAGCGCGCATCGCATATTACAAAGACAGGTTTTTCTTCCCCTCAGTCTCCGGTTTCGGAGTGTTTTTCTGTAGCGAACTGCTCTTACGAAGAGTCGCTTAAGCGTGGCTATCTTTAGATTTAAGGGAATAGCACCAGGATATAATCCATCAATCGCATATCTCGGATGCAAAAATACCCTAGTAGCCTTTGTGCTCATAAATTGCTGTCGCGACATTCCAACAACTCTGCCGGTTTCTTTATTTGGCACCGCTAAAAACCTTTGAGGATGGAAACTCGGCCCACCCCCAAACCGTTAGACTGCCGGAGTATGAACGTCTCGGGCCCACCGAACGAGCCCGGTGCACGGCGGCCGTACAATCGGACCGGAACTCTTGGGATCGGGTGACGGTCCATTCCCGGTCCACTGGCACAATGTGCCGCCCTGACCGGCGAACACTGGGCGCTATTTCTGGGACCGCGCCGTCAGAGCCGGCGCTAGACATCACCTGCGCGGCCGGATCTTCTCGATTACAACCGCGGGCTGCCACGGATCGAGTGATACCGCGATCCCGGAGTCACGCTACTGGCGACGACACGGACCGGCTGGCTGCTGTCCGGGACCCACGTGACTGAGAGCGGCGCCGGCCGACTTCTGACGCGGCCATGCGCCACGTGACATGGGGTGCGCTACAGGCCTCAGAGTAACCGGATGACGGAGCGGCGATCGACAGTAGGTGCTACCGTGCTCGGACGTACCGGACGCACTGAGCACTATCCGAGGCAGTCCTACGTATATTACGTATAAATACATACAGTGCTGGGTCACTCGCTACTAGCTAGACCCAGCAAGGTCTATACTTATAGGCCATAAGGGACCATGCCGTGTTATCATGGACCGAGCTCCCCGTATAGTTATGGCGCAGACCGTGTACCAGGTCACCTGACGAACCATGCCAGGTCACCTGACGGATCACGCCGGGTCACCTGATGGCCGGGTCAGGTGATAGCCGTACCGGGTCACCTGACGGACCGTGTCGGGTCACCTGACGGCCAGGTCACCTGACGGGCCGGGCCGGGTCACCTGACAGACCATACAAGGTAACCTGACGGACCACATTGGGTCACCTGACGAACCGTACCGGTTCACCTGACGGAGCGTACCGGGTCGAGTCACGTGACGCACCGCGCCGGGTCACGTCACCTGACGGACCGCGCCGGGTCACCCGTCGGAGGGGCGCCGTCCGTCCCGAGCGGCGCCAGCCACCGATCTCTCTGAGAGCCGCCGACGGCGACAGGCCAGCGATCTCTCCCGGACGCGAGACGCTGGCGCCGGCTCCCCATAGATAACCCACGTCAGCGCGCGGCGCTGGAGAGCGGGCGCTCACAGACCTACACATTTACACAAACATATTATAAAAGGCGTAGCTAATTGTATCAACCTTTCCAATCCATATTCGCACAGGGTTTCTTACATGTATAACATCGCACAACGGTGATTGGAGGGACCAGGCTTTGAAATGTGAGCAGTTGCATTAGCTCTAGGAGCATTTAGATTACATGTGCGCAATGCGGATGTCGCTCTATTTCGCTAAAACGTTTTTCAAAATCCATGTGCAGATTTATTGATAAGCATCAACTATGCCTAGATTTAATGAGAGATAGGTACCAAAAGCAGCTGTTGCATGCGCAGTGAGCACACCACACAGGTGAGTGCGGCAGATAAGTCTCATTCGGATCAGACAGACCACCCGCATGGGGTCAGACAGATCGGATCACGTGTTACGAGACAGGCACCGGTAGACACACGGTAGACAGACACCGGACGCATTATACTAGAGCCCCACCGAGACGAAAGGAGCCGCCCCGCGCGCCGACCAGAGTCTGGGAGAAGCCGCCCCTCGCCGACCAGGGACGGAGGGCGCCTAGTGAAGCCTTCCGCGGACCGCCCTGTACGTCCACGCACCGACCTATGGAAAACGAGGCCTGGATCTCCGACAAGCTCAACCAAGACGAGAAGAGAAAAGCTGAATGAATTGCAAGAAAAATATCAGAAATGTTTTACATGTCTACGCTGGTCCTTTGTCTAAGCACGTTGTGATTCAAAGTCAATTTGATAACCTGGCCGGGCCCGAGGGAAATTCCATCCAACGCAGCCCGTGGGGAGCGTTTTTGGCCCCTCCTCCCTTCCCCATGCCTAACTCGTGAATAAAGAAGCTCTGGAAACAAAAACGGTACCGAACGAAAGCTTTCTAAGGGACGGTTATAAAGCATCTAAAAATTTCGACCTCAGGTCAATTAATAGGCAGAGGTTCAAACTGGTTGGAACTTGGAAACGAAAGCAGAACAGGAATAAAAAATAAGAATAAGAAATAAAATAACAAAGAGGTAAGAAATACGCATTCCCTGTAGCGACAGCTGAAGGAAAGTTTCGGCATCTCTTCAGCTAATGCTTTATGGTTTGCACACGTCATTTGGTTGTTTGTTTTATATTTGAATACCACCTGATGCTGCCAACGTTGACTATATTTACACTGAGCGAGGTTAAATATTACAACATGTCAATGTCCAATATCCATCCAACAGTTCATCAGTACACCCAACATTGCCATCACACATCTACCAAGTGTGATGATGCAAGCAACATATGTAATCGTAAAATTACAAAGTCGTTTAGGGAGGCGTGAGCTCCGGAACAGCGCTGCCGAGACCGTAAAGAATGATCTGCGTGAGATCAATTCAGCACTGAACAAAAGTCTTAAGTTCAAATACAAAAACAGATGTCATAGAACGGGATAAAACATGAGCCAGAACTCAGCTAGACAGCCGAGGTCAATCATATCATTACTGTTCTCATAGCTATCAAGACAAGAACATTGACAATTGGCAACACCGTCAGCTACAATAGAGGGTAGGCTATTGTCAGAAACGGTTAGGAACGGTCGGATGGGATGCTTCAAAGCAGCCATTCAACGCAGCAACAGTTCACCATATCTGCATTGATCCGAGAGCTCTCAGCAGACAGGGATTTAGCGCATTTGGCATGCCACTCAGGTTCCCTATAATGTCATACAAAGCGCCAGAGATATGACTTCATCTCTGAGCCACTACACAGACATGAACGTGCTCCTTAAATACGCTTACAGCTGCAAAAATACGCACAGCGACGCCAGGAAATTCCCACCCCACAATCCGCCGCCTCCGCTGAGCGTCTGCGCATGTCTTTATTGACACAGAAGTATTCACGATCCACATACTCCACCACTGAGGTAGACAATATCAGAGAGCCAACACTATCTCTCTTGCCACCTACCGCAGGCGCGCGGTGTGCCGCCGTACACTCACTGCGCACAACACAACGCCGGTGAACGGGCCGGCCGGCGCGACCCTGCCGCGGACCTAGCACTCGCGCGCAATTCTTAGCGCGCGAGCAGAATGGCGCCGCGGCGGCGCGCGCGCGCGAACACAGGTGCGCGGCGTCCGCGCGCCCTCTCTTCCACCCTCCTCGGCCGCCTCTGGGACGGCATCAGGTACAGTACCGGCACAGTGCCGGCGTCGCGCGCGGTATTGCGTCTATGGTGACGTCCAGACGGCACTCACGGCGCGGCGGCGCGCGCGCGCGCTCGCGCGATCCGCCGGCGCGCCAGATCCGGCCGGTGGCGGCGCGCGCCTGCACGTGCCAATCTGACGTCATCATGGTCGTTCGGTGTGCTCTGCCGCCGGCGCCGGTGCTCAGTTGTGCAGGAACGAGATGCTGGAGAAGGGCGCCGTCGTGTTGTTGTCACCTGTCGGAGGGCGGACCGAGCTGTCAGCGATCAGAAGTTTTACAGCGGCAGGGTGACGATTAAGCCCAAAACATTTAGATTTGACATTCGGAGTTTAAATAAAGTTAAGCCAATAAAACATTTGAATTAATAAATAAGTATCTAACAATACTTTTAAAAATAAATATTCATAAATGCATGCAATAATCTCATTCCTCATAGCCACATCAGCGCGGAACGAATGCACAAGAAGCAGCCACGAAGCAAGCCCGCCGCAAAACAGTTTCGTGTTGCTGTACAAATCGGAACCAGTGACTGGGCACGTTCTCAGTATCTCAGTATCTCAGTATCTCCTCAGTATATCCAGGTGGCATTAGAAACGAGCCCGTCGGCTCTGGCTCTTCACCGGGGATTTTGGCTCTGGCAACTGCCCACCGGCGCGGACAGGCTGCGGGCGGATCTAGGGGAAGGGGTGGACACTCCCGCCGAGAGAAGGTAGAGCACTTCGGCTGGGAGTTATACAGAAAAGGTGCCCCTGAGAATGGGGAAGGCTCCCCTAAGAATAGGTATGACTCTCCGGTCGCGGTATGACGCACTTCTCCCAGCCCTGGTGACATCAGCAGACAGTCTGAAGCAGCTCCGGTCAGCCGGTTTGGGCCACCGCCGCAGGGCACGGAGACGGCAATCAGAACTGGTAGTCGTCGCCAACACGGGGGCGGCTGGCGTGCATTGACCAGGGAAACCCGGAGATGGACCGCGGACCATAGCCGGTATATCGGACAGGGGAGAGGGAGGGGGAGAGAGAGAGAGAGAGAGAGAGAGAGAGAGAGAGAGAGAGAGAGAGAGAGAGAGAGAGAGAGAGAGAGAGAGAGAGAGAGAGAGAGAGAGAGAGAGAGAGAGAGAGAGAGAGAGAGAGAGAGAGAGAGAGAGAGAGAGAGAGAGAGAGAGAGAGGAGCCATCAGAGATACCAGTCCGAGAGAATGTTTCACGGCAGAGCACCGCGCTGTCGCTGGCCAGACGGCCACCGAAAGAATGTCCCGCTCTTGACTTTGCTGTGACGTGGAATTCCCAGCGAAAATTTATTGTGTGTAATTTGGCATCAACAGTGAAGTGGTCAGGTGATGCTCTTCAGCAGCTGGAGACAGGCTTAAAATGTCGATGGACAAATTTGATATTGCTCCCGTAGGCCGCGGGTATGTGACAACAATGTCATGGGCAGTGGGCACCATACCTATATTATTGCTGACAAAGCACCTAAATTGTACGTAGCGTAACATAACAACGTGGCTCAAGCCTTATTTGCTTATTCATTTGAAGTGATTAATTCGTGTTGATATCGTTAACCAACAAACCACCTGCCAATGAACCCATGCATGTGCCACCCGGCAGGGTCACGATTCCTGTATGTGCACTGTGCTATGCACCATTGCACTGTGGCAGTGGATGACGTCAGGCGGTCACGCTGATTTCAGGGAGCTCGTCCCCACACGTCCGCTTCTGCCTTCTGCCAGGTTCGCCGGTACGCTCCATTGCAACTTAACATACAAGCAGCACGAGACACGACCTCCTGAATTTTGATACATCCGTGTGGTAAGATTATGTCAAAGCTTAGACGAAAGGATTTCTTTTCATCAGTCAATTTTAGTCAGAGTTCGTCAAAACGTGGCTTACTTAAGATTATTTTAGCGAAAAAGCGGAATTATAATTTCGCTGATGCTAAGTTGCTCAACTGTTAAGAAGGAGCACGATGAAGTCATAATTTAATCCAGGTCGACTCAGAAAAATAAACGTCCTTCATTTACACTAATGTACTTACCGATAAACTACACATCTCATTTGTCTTAGCAATTTCCTCATACGTCATAGTGATCTCAGTGCATCACCTCAACAGACCGAGGAAGGCACCAGATATCCGCTCCGTTCCCGAATCTGTCCGAGATTGGCCCATGTTCCGACAGTGTGCCGCCAGCTCTCGGCTCATCTCAGGTACGAGTATGTCGTTATGCTGCCTTGCCATGGCGAAAGTCAGCGGCCGGCCTCGGCGGTTCCGTACCGTTCTTGCCGGCGGGCAGAGGCCGCTCGGACGTCACAAAACAAGGCGCAGCTCGCCCTCAGTCCCGGTGGCGCCGGCATGACCGTAAAGCTCACGTATACGACCTACTTGAGTCGGCCGAGCATGCCGTCACCACGTTAAAAAGCAGGGGCCCTCGCGCGACGGCACCGCTTTACGATCGCCGTGTTTTGCGTGGTCATTCACTCCGCGTAGCACGGCAGCCCACCTCCACGCTCGAGGGCAACCTCCTCGTCTCAGGAGCCGCTTGGGTCGTCGAGGGAGCCTAAAAGGTTACGGTCCCTAACTAGAGTTAGCTTTGACTTTGCTCACTTCACTGACCTGTGCCCGCCTCGAAGCGCCGCGAGTAGCACTTTCCGTGGTGGAGGACGTCGATGACGAGGCCGGTGGCGCACGAGTCCTTCATCAGGTGACACCAGGACCGGTACGTTACGTAGTTAGAGCCGCACACCTTGATCTGCTTGCCGCGGCCGCGTCGCCGGCAGCGTAGCTGGCAGTTGACGCAGCGGGGCGTGCGTGTCTTGGGACTGAGCAGACAGCGCTGACCTTGCTTGCAGCGCAGCCGGGAGCAGGTCAGACCCGCTGGGGGAGACAGCACACAGACAGAGGTCAGCAGAACCGACAACGGGTGAACGTGGGGATGGGACAGCTTCCGAGATGCGTGATGTGGTGGTGACTTGGCCATGATTATCTGTTCCATATCTGTTCGAATGATGTCTGACGTGTCATCAACGCGTGATTAAGTTGGTCTTTAGTGCTATAGTCCTGTAAACACATACCAAAGGCGCACTATTTTTACGATATTTAATTATAGCAAATGAAACTATTCCCAGCCGCACTAGCCATCTGTGTCATGTCTCCTCTGGTGTCACCACGACACGCAGACATCACTGGCGTCTGACCGAGGCGCCGGCACCGCGCGACCCTTCACAGCCCCACAGCTCCGCTCTGCGGTCGACACTCAGCAGAGGCGACAAACTGGTTTGGGCTCTACGACAGACCAGACTGACAGACTGAGGACGCAGCAGCACGCGATGCGGCGTCAAAGCGGATTGCCGTGAGGCCGGACCGTCTACGTTATCACCATTTAGACGATTTTTTTCGGGGCGGCGCGGCGGCGCGGACTGTGCCTGCCCCTGGCAGCGCTCGGCGGATAAGCCCGGATCGCCAGGCGCCGGCTGTTCGTCTCACTGCGGCACCGAGCCGAGTTTTTTTCGTCGCAGTCGTGCAACACGTGCCGCTAAGCCTCCACCGGTGGCGGCTCAGTTTTCCGAAACAGGAGACAGCTCTGGACCGACCACAATCGGTGCGACGGGCGTCCGACACGGGCGGCAGGCCGAGCGTCGTCTGATGACTAAATTAGCCGGCCGGCTCTCGGCTGGATGGCACGTATCAGCCGGTGGCCACAAGGCGAGTAATGCGACGCCTGCCCGACGGCCGCCGCCAGCTGTGCAATGGTGGCGTGCGCAGCTGGCGGCGGGGGTTGAGTCGCCGCACGCGGGCGCGCCACGCCGCCGTGAGCTCGGCAGGGGACCCGGAGACGATCCGGGCTCGCCGGCAGCCGCAACTTGCCGCCGGCAGCGGCCAAGGTCGCCGCGGCGCCCGCCAGCTCCGCCACCGGACGCCGGCGGCGGGAATAACGCGGCTAAGCACCGGCTGCTGATCCAGAGGCTTACGCCGCCGCCGTGGCCATCGCTAAATACAAACAAGACGATAGTGGCGCGGCGGTTCGGCGCCACTCGCCGCCGCCGAACTGACGGGCTCATCCTGTCGCCGCTACTGACACGGAAAGGGTACGACGGTAGGGGAGGGGGAGGGGCGTAGTAAGCAGTACCGGCTTGATGTCACTGGCCTCGGGCAGCATCCGTGTTATTTAGGGCTGGCGCCTCACTTTGGACGGCTTACTCAGAGACACAGCAAGACCGGGCGGCTTTGAAGGGTGCGCCAGCCGAGAGCAAAGGTTGGCCGCGGGCCGCTTCAGATTTTGTCACAGATATGCACACGGCGCCTCAGTGACCTAGGCGTTTCGGTTTATAATTATGTGCACAACCTGCCAAGCTTAGCTCGAGATGATGATATTTCAGCCCCCGCTGGCGTGAGATTAGCGTGAATGTAGCGGGCTGACCACAAATAGCCGGCCTTTGGACCTCGTGGCGCCGACGAGGGACCTTGGTGACGCAACGACACGGGGGCCCTGCCAGCGGCGACGGCAGCAGAGGGGCGGCGCGCGGTCCTCAGAGAGTAAAGGTCCCTACCCGAGATTGCATGACGACAAGGGCTTTGTGTGCACGACTGCGGGGATTATACGTATGTAGTGTGAATGAATGAATTGGCGTGCGCTGTTCAAATTATGAAGCCGGATGGGTAGGGATTGAATATCGTCGAGTGATTATTCTAACCAATGCTGCATCGCGCTGGTTTAAAAGGCACTTCTGCGGTGAGACAATTTACAACTTCGACTCGCACAGAAGTTTGGGCATTGACTGCTCTGCTACCGAGAACCATCATACGAGCTTGTAATTAGGATCGTTAATAAGTAAAGTTAAATTAAAGACAGCTCCAGTGAATGCCCAAGGTTAAGATGTAAACATCCGGTGAGGCCCAAAGTCAAACCCTGAAAATTAACGAATGCATTTAAACAGTTCAACTAAACGTTTCCAAGCTACTTGGGTGACGTGTCACATGCAGCGAATGAATGAATTGTCTATTGCTGAGAGCTTTGATATCGATCACTGTGGATTGTTCGAGGGGGAGCGGAACTCACGTCGGCACGGTCCTCGGTAGGCGATGGGGATGGCGCTGCCGTTGAGGCAGGCCGCCCTCCGCGCCTGGCACCGGTTCTTGTAGGTGACGCCGTTGACCCCGCAGATGGGACTGGAGGCGCGGTCGCTGCAGCGACGCAGGCACGGAGCGCAGTGCGGTATCCGGTTCTGGTCAAGCACGCACTGTTCGTTCTTCCTGGCGCACTGCACCGACTTGCAGGACGCTGCCGAGACAGAGCGGGAGGGGACACCGTGAGATGACGTCGGGAGATGTGTCGTCAGCGGTGCTCAGGGCTAGTTGGGGGTGCATGGAAGGCTGCACGTTGCTCTTTAGTGGCGAGACCGTGTCACGTGTCTGGCGCGTTTGGAGCTCGGCGGTGCCGTGTGTCTCGGCCGGCACGGGTACCCAGAAGTCACGTGGGGCAGTCCTCAGACGACCGCCGTTGGTCTAGGGTCGGTACGAAACTAGGCGGATAGGGTGGACTCATTACCTCCGTCTGTCTACAGAGCCCGCAGCCGACCGTGGCATAAGTGGCGCAGCAACTGGGCTCCAATGCGGCCAGTGACGTCACCACTTGTATCAAAACACAGCCGCGCCACCGGCCGCCACCGGTGCGTTCACGTGTTCAGCTCTCATGTCGGCGCTAATTTGCAAGTGCAATGGATTGGTAAGCTTCTTAGGTTTAAAGAGGTTTAAATAAGATTGTCGAATCCGGATTTATTCCCATCCGAACGACCACACGGGAGGTAGCTGGAAAAGTACACACCCGGAAGAAGTAAGAATAACTAGAGGCAGAATAAGGGAGAATAAGGAAATGGCTTAGGTATATAAACGGACTATGGGAAACACAGAACCACAGCAAGTTGCAGTTTCTTGAAGCTGCACGTTTTTATTTAATTTGATGATATGCATTGAAGGCAAGTACATGAACTGCTGAAACCGCATCTCACGTTTGACGCATGTTTCATGACGAATTTCAATCAGTAGGTAATACGGTTGAATTGTGCACAGATAAGTAATACACGAAGAAATACGTACCACTAATTGCTAGTTAATACACTTTAATATCTTGGCCAATATGTGATAACAATAAAAGCATCCTAATAATAAGCACACAAACAAGCCGAATCAGCGAAAGAAAATACGTCGACCATCGCACGATTCAAAGATACCAGTACAGCGAGGTTGACGTCCCCTTCAGAAATACGGTTGTGACAGAGAACAATTCACCAGTGCTTATAAAAAATATAGCGTATTTCATAACTTCAGTCATCTAAGTAGCCAGCTTTTCCTAAGAATTGCAGTCATACTCGTATGCAGCCCAGAGTGGTAAGTGCAAGCTTTTCATTGATGATATCGAATATCGAATGATAAGACGTTTCGGGGAAAACGTCTGTGCAAACTGCTATACAGTATAAAGGTACCTACTGATAGCGAACGTTGAACAGATTCAGCAACATTGTTTCAATCTGCAGATATTCATTTAAAAAGTCAGTTATTTGTATATGAGTAAAACGCGATGAACAGTGTCCCTCCAAGTATACAAACCAAAAATACCACGATGCCGAGCGGCCTTCGGATTTACCGCTAATCCAAACAGTAACAGTAAACCAGTGATAAGAAAATGTCCCGGACCAAATTTTCCCCAAACATCATATGCTACAATCAATTAACCTAATCTATTTCTTGAACCATCGACTGTAATACGAGGCTCTGGTGTGCTGTTTATGACTCATCTAACTGCCCTGTCTTATCATCATTTTTACTGCGTCATTTTCAGTGTCGGGGCCGGCTCCAAATAAGCTGCCGTTGGCACTGGTGAGTGTGTTCTGAAGGCTGAAGCACTGGCAAAAGGCAATGTGACAGGCGCATTGGTCGGTCGGCAAACGATTGGCGCCCACTGAGGGGCCCGGCCACGTCAGCGGGACGCTATGATAGGCCTTCTCGACTTCCGACCGGTCGGCCACGCTCCACACCGGCGCGGCGTGCCTCTCGTGAGCCCCACTCATGCACCGGCAAAAACAACGGCGTTCCCGATGGCTGATTTGCATAATAGGACATGGCTGATTGGCTCAGTGTTGGCAAAACGGCACGTCATCTCCAGGGAAAAACGACGGCGGATAGGCACCTATCGATAGCGCTCCATCCTGTCGAGACCAGGCTCCCTCCCTCCCTCTCTCTCTCTCTCTCTCTCTCTCTCTCTCTCTCTCTCTCTCTCTCTCTCTCTCTCTCTCTCTCTCTGGCTCTGGCTCTCTCTCTCTCTCTCTCTCTCTCTCTCTCTCTCTCTCTCTCTCTCTCTCTCTCCCTACCTCTGCTCAATTACACCTATTACCTGTCGCATTGCAACGCTTCCAGCACGAATTTTGTGACTACATCTTCCTCGTTTGAACATTTCTTTTGGATTGTTGCCAGATTACGCAAGACCAAACACGGGATAATCTAGCAATGAAATGCCAGCCATCACCGTCCATCTGGCCTTACGTCAGCCGCGACATTCCGGTCGCCCATACGCCCCCGATACTGGCGACAAGTGGGCCCGACTCGGCTGACTGTAACCGTCGACAGCCGGGCTTCGGCGGACCGGATACCCGACGTCCAGGTTATATCGTCGATCGACGATCGCTCGACGGGGCAAAGGGATCGCACAAATTAGGTGGCGGTGCCTCTTCCGCGTGGTCTGCACTGGATGTGACAGACCGCCCACCTGCCGCCGTCCCTTCCGGGACAGACTGTCTGGGACAGGACAGACACGTCCCCACTGCGGAAAGACGCGCACTCGCTGGGACAGAAACGACACATCTAGAACAGAAACGCCTCGACTGGGATAGACGTGCTTCCACTGGGGCAGACGTGCCTCGCCCTCCACTGGGACAGATATGTTCCCGCTGGGACAGAAACGCTTCCACTGGGATCGACACGTCTGACGCCTCCAATGGGACAGATTAGAGACGTCAATCGGATACCAACTTTTTGGCCTACCGATACCAAACCGATACTAGCTTGATATTTGGTACTTCAGTCCTAATATGTTTGGTATTTTGTTGGTATCATGAACCCTCACTAATGTATGAGAGGCCAAGAAATTGGTAACACGTTGGTATTTCCCATCTGTTCCTAAGTTGGTTGGGGTTCGGTATTTCCCCACAGTTTGGTTGGTATTTGGTTTGGTATCGGTATCCCGATTTTCCGTAATTGACATCACTAGGACAGATACACCCAAAATGGGACAGATACGCCCCACTAGGAGAGACACGCTCCCAGAGGAACAGACAAGTCCCCATTGGAGCAAACTGGGACAGTCACGCCTCCACTAGGACAGACACCCCCCCCCCTCCGCCTTGCGGCCGGACCGCGACCCCACCAACCCTCGAGCACCTGCGATCGACGTCCAGACACGGACGCCAAGTCTAACCGGCTGGGCCAACCGCGCTACGTCGGCGTTCGGTTCGGCGAACTGGCCACTCGGTCCGGTGTTGGGTGTCTGGGCATCAGTCTTCCGGCGGCCCAAAGTGCCGTGTCACGAGAGCAGCGACGCCGCGACTTATTAGGCAGCCGTGACGTCACCGTAGGCAGATGAACGTCGTCCTTACATGGAGGAGAGCACAGCCGCCTGACAAGGGCGCTGACGGGCGCGGCTGCGCTTAGGCGGTGGTAGAACTACAGTCTACACTGAGCCGAGTCCAAGCGAGCACCTGCGCACCGCATGACCACAACGTGGTAACAAGATGTAGGGAGAGGAAGAGAGGGAGAGGGAGAGGGAGAAGAGGGAGAGGGAGAGGGAGTGTGTGTGTGAGAGAGAGAGAGAGAGAGAGAGAGAGAGAGAGAGAGAGAGAGAGAGAGAGAGAGAGAGAGAGAGAGAGAGAGAGAGAGAGAGAGTGAGAGAGAGAGAGAGAGAGAGAAGAGAGAGAGAGAGAGAGAGAGAGAGAGAGAGAGAGAGAGAGAGAGAGAGAGAGAGAGAGAGAGAGAGAGAGAGAGAGAGAGAGAGAGAGAGAGAGAGAGAGAGAGAGAGAGAGAGAGAGAGAGAGAGAGAGAGAGAGAGAGAAGTCCGCATCCCCAAAGCAGTTTCCCAATGCTCCCACATTATAATATTTGAGAATCTGACAGGAAGGAGTGGAACTGGAAAAGATGATAAAGGCTATGGAAACCAGTAAAAGCTTGGAGTGCCAATATTCTTACCTGACAAATGGACGTATCCTAAGCAGCAAAGGAAGACGAAAGAAAAACGTTAGTCTTGGTAATTGACATGACATCAGCATTCAGCAGCGTAAACTGAAGCGTTTAAAAATTCCATTCACGGGAACGTATTTGATAATTCTGAACACATTCCATGCCCATATGTAGCCTGGCCTGCCTCTAAAAACGATATGATTTCCAGATATGACATATCTACAATCGCTTTTCAATATATGGATGAAAAATATTGATTAGCAAAGGCAGAATGTGCTCATATAATAGTTTCCCCAATACATATGTTTCTTCGTGTTGAACTTACCGCCTCGCTCTGCAGCATGAAATGGTAAAACATGTGTCAGACAATGGATGAATAACATACCAATGAAAATTTCCTCCGAACACACCATGAATTCCTTTTGAATGATGTGAGGGAAAATTGAAAGCTTCACGAATTCATTCACGAATAAGTAGTCATCTACGGGCTGGGTGGTCTCATTTGTGAGACAATTATGTCTCACAAATGAGACATAACTGTCTATTTGGTATAGACAAAATAGTTTGCTTAGCCTTCGATTGAATATTAAAAGTATGGAACACGCTAAAAGCTATTATATGAAATATAGACGAAACAGAGTCATTAGTTTGAATAACATATCATAATAAGCATAGACTATTATACCTAAGATATATAATGGTCTCTGTAAAGAGTTATATCAAAAGTCAGTCAGAACTTGAACAGTGATTATTACCTACTGCACCACCTCTTTGCCGTTGTCTTTTGTGAATAGTATGCATATTGCTACGCATTCATGACAACAACGTTCATGTGCATTAATATGTATGCAGATTGCAGGGCCTTGTCTATAATTTATTTTGGTAGTTGCGTGGGATACACAGGTGTACGTAACTGTAACCTAGATGTAAATCTTTTGCCTTCGGCCCTTCCACACCACGATTCCCATTGGTTTGGTTTCCATGGGCTGAATTCGTCAAAATCAGCCGATGTGGCTATAACAGGTGCGTGTCCGCGATTTTTCTACAACGCCGATTGTACAATCGTTCAATCACGACAGGGATTCACCCGCCCTAAGCAGACAAGCTTCCTTACAACAGCGCGTTGCATGCAACTTGACCGCAGTGTAATCGGGCTTCCAGCGGGCCAGATACGGGGCAGGAACTCCCTGTCTTCCCTCCCTCCCTCACTGCAGGTGCCCTCCAGTCAATGGAGTGCGCTGATCGGCGCCCGCCAGTATATTATTATTATTATTATTATTTCATTTATTTTCACCAACCACAGAAACGTGGGCGTTACGGTGAAAATAGGCACAAGGTAGGTACATACATACATACAGTTCACCAGGTACACAACACTTTACATGATCCACGTATGAACATACCTATTACCTATGCATGTTACCTACAGGCTACATGCACGTTACATGAACAGACTCAAACTGCCACCATATCAATATTCTCCTGATACAAAGAAGTATAGTCCTCAAACGTATAGTGCAGTGACTGGCGAGTGACATCAAATGAAACACTGGCAATTGCACACGTTGAAACGATACATTGTATAAGTACGAGCATATGACCGATAATCATGGCTTGTCAATGTCTGCCTTAGTTAGAATGTACTTTATTACTTCATTCTTTGAGGCGTTCCTCACTTGAGGGGGCAAGCTGTTCCAAAGCTTAGAGCCTTGGTAAGAAAGAGAATTTTTCATGAATTCCGTTCTTGGGGCAACAAGATCAAGGTTCTCTGATTGTCTTGTGTTACGTTCAGATTGTCGTGTCATAAAAAGCGTCGAAACGAGAGGCGTTGTACTTTCAGGAAAAAGCAGACATTGGCGGACAATATTAAGAGCAGCAATTTTATATTCCGTGGCAAGATCAACACGCCATGCCACACTTTTGCTTTCGCGACCCGCGATTCGCCTGGCAAATTTAACAATCTTAGCTATTCTTTTTGCTTGAGTCATACTGCAGTTTCCCCACACTGAAACACAGAAACGCATATGCGGCAAAACTAACGAGTTTATCAGTAGGACAATAGTTTTTAAAGGCATCATGTGGCGCAGCTGACTCAAACGGATTATATATCCAGCGCCGGAAGTCCCTCGGGCCCGCCCCGCGCCGCACTAACAGCTATCTTATCACAGACGCACGCCCGGTCAACACTCCCACCATTGCTAATCGCATTGGTGTAATCGGAAGCCTCACTGCCGGCCGCGGGTGCAGCGCACCAACGCAGTCGGCTATCTGCTCAGACAGGTGAGGTGACCCGTGTCAACACTGCAGATAGTGTAGTGGGTAGCTAGAATGTGCATGCACAAATATAGCCATCGACGGAAGGTTCCAGCTGCACGATGCTGTAATATCTGACGTGGCCGGTGCACGAGACCGGTCACGCACGCCGAGGACACGTGCACACAACGAGCGGCTTTATTGAACTCGTTCTTGGAACTCACATCGGCTGCTATCTTAATTCCAGCTTAGGGAAATATGGCGTGAGTATTTTTAGCGAGGACGCCATTCATTTTGAAGCGGCTAATTTCTCCAGTAAATAGAAAATCATTCTACTAGGTCACACACTGATTAACTACTTTGTAAAGATAGTTTGCTATTGATTGCTTAGATCAGACAGTCTTTCGAACCTAAGCGTGTAATAGTTATCCAATTCCGCTAGATGTACCCCTAGATAACATTGAGCCACCTTCTGTTCTCGATAAACAATGATTGTGTGCTGGGAGCCCACACAGCCCCGTGCGCAGCCCGCACTCGCCAGAAGCTGCCTCATGTCAACATCGACCGTGGGTAAATTAAGTCGCGGATATACCAACCACGCCACCTTCGCAGAACGAACTTTACCGGATCTCTGTCGATACTGAGCACAGAACAAGTGAACAGCCGCTACCGCCGGACAAGAGAGAAAATCGCTGAGATGGAGCCTGAGGGCACCTTGACTAGACCTTATGCCTCGATACGGCATCAGAATAGATTATCGTGCATCGGTAATCGGGACGGTCCACGACTCCACAGGCCATTAGAAGACTGCCGGGGTTGTGTTGGTCTGTAGTGGAAGATAGGTCTGTCGCAATCGTCTGTGCCTGTGGGTCTGTTGGAATGGCCAGCGGGTCTTTCGGAATGGCTAATTGATCCATTGAACTGTCCCGCGGGTCTGTGAGAACGGTTGGCAAGTCCATCAAACTGTTCCGCGGTTCTGAATAGTCAGAGGAAACCCACTGCACCCAGCTGTAGATCGGACGAGGCGGTGTTGGCCGTAACCGGGGCTCGCGGCGAACGGCGCGCCCTACTGCCATCGCTGTTATCTCAGATCGCCGCCCTCAGTGCAGATCAACCGAGCGGGCGGCGGCCGCGCCCTGGCCTTCCCCGCACGGCCGCCCCCGCCCCCGCCCCCGCCCCGTGCCGGCGCTTCCGAGTGGCTGACAAATTGCACACAAACAAGTCGACGAGCGCCGCCCACGGCCCGCCCCGCTCCGTCCCTCCTCCTTACGTCCTCGACCATCTCCCACTAGATTCTGTCCTCGCCTTCAGTCTGCCCCCACCTGCCTCTATCCCGCCCGTGCTCCCAAAGCCACACACCGAGTCTCCCCCAATCGACCACCTACTTTGGCAGGCTCCTTTGTAGGCCATCAGCAGACTGCTCTTCTTGCGGCACTGCCGCCGCAGTAGCTTGCAGTAGTTGCGGTAGGTGCGGCCGTCGTTCCCGCAGACGGGGCCGCGGCCAACCCGGCGCACCCGGCACTTTGGCGCGCATACGCAGCGCGGCACGCCGTTCCGTCTGCGGCACTTTTCGCCGCGGTCACACTTGACGTCGGAGCAGCTCGCTGTGGAGGAGAGGGAGAGAGGGTCAGCGAGGAGCTACAGAACACGACGAGACACATGGCGACATGGACAGACGGACACACGACTGAAGCGCCAGACAAAGTAGCGGCGGAACACCTTCAATTAAGGGGGGGGGGGGGCTCTGCCGACTTTTGGTCCCATTCTTTCCATGCAACGCCCATAGGGCTAATGTTAAAATGCCAAAATCAAAGGGGGGCACGGTGCCCCGGCGCCCTCCCCGTTCCGCCGCCTATGGCCAGACAACTGGGAAGCTGGAGACAAGATGGCCAGGAAAGAGGAAACGAGAAACGGCAAGACGCGAAGAGAGGAGAGACGAGAAGACAAAAGAGAATAGATGAAGGAGAAGAGATGAAAGACAAGAAACGAGAGACGGAGGGAAAATGTTTAGAGAGAAGGGATGAGGACGCGGCGAAAGGGACGAGAGGCCAAAAACGAAAGATGAATGGCTTGCAGGGACAGGAATGATGAACGTAACTCGATGCTGGGGGCGGAAGCAAAGGAACGCAAGATCATTGCGTTGGCTGCATTACTGTTATCTTATTGTATCATACGGGTGCCAGTGTCCTCAGCGGCGAGTAAGGAAGTGCTTATCTAGCTGACCGTGGCTGCGGTTATGCAATCGGATATCAGTCAGGAACTAGGAAGCACTCAAGTCTGTAAACACTCAACGTACTGATAGTTGTAGATCGACTGATAAGGCGCCGTAAGCCCCACGAATAGCGCTGCATATAAGATTCGCTTTGTTAGATCGTTCTAGCGCCATGGGTGACAATGTATAATCGTATGTTACATAAACTCGTTGCATACGCTACAATTGCCATTTCCAAGCCTTGGCAGCTCTCTGTCCGTAAGAAGGTCTTCCTCCTTTTTCCAGACGGAGTAGTCTGTCCTGTGATGCTCACTCACCCGCGAGGTCATAGTGCGTGCTACTTTGGCGAACAGCGTGGCCCTCAGAGCTCTGAATGGGAACATCCGCACGGGGCGGGGACGGGGTTCGTTCGCATCGATTGAGGTTGTCTCACGTCGGGTGACGTTTGGCGCGCGATGTTACTGCGCAAATGTTGGACGAGTGGCGTGTCACGCGTTCAGAGGTGGGCGATGACCTGAGCAGAGGCCCTACAGGGGTGCGTGTTCGCGGATTGCAGAGCAGAATGACATGACTGGGGCTCTACTGGGGTGAATATCATTTAAACAGGTGCACGAGGCAGCGAGTACAGGGATTTATCCCCTCCGATATGACGTCGAGAAAGTCTGGGCAGTGGACACAACTGATATCCTAACAACAACAAAAAAAAGGAAAATGGCCGCGCTTGTTGCATGCAGTTGACTCGGCCGTCTGTGAGGCTCAGCATCGGGAACCGTTCGTGAACCGCGCACCTGTTTTGTCCGCGATGGGTATCGGCATTCTACACGTGTTGGCGGTCAGTCTGTCTGTCGTTTCTGCTCTGTGTCGTGATCGGGCCCCGTTCGATACTGGGAAAACCTCAAAGACAGTATCAATGCGCCAACATTGCTAGTTTTGCTAAATGGCTTTGTCGACAACTGATTTGGAGATAAGATTACACAAGAGATTCTCATGTTTGAGGATGAGCTGCATCAAAAGACGCAGCGGTTCCGAAAATAGTGGCGACTGCTCATCACGAACACGTTAAAATATAGTTGTTGCATTGTGGGAAAATTTGAGCATATTTTCGGACACAGACAAAATGCCCTAATTTTAGCATATATAATACCTACCTTTGCTTAGAAGAGATACCAATATGAGCCAAGAACCTAAGTGGCACTACAAACGAGGTTAAGTGGCTGATACTCGACACAAATATTATTGAAATGAGCTTAAATATGTACTTGCTCGTGAATGTGGAGTGATTGGATGATGCAAGCAATCAACCACGTACATATATGTACTACGTAAGGCTATATCCGAATAAAACAAAGACATATTTCATGAACAAAGGACGATGTAATCGGTGCTGACTGCTGACTGCTGAGTGGTAGCACGTGTCGTTTCCATCGCTCTTAACCAGCCTGAACACAACTTTGAACCTACGCAAAACGATGGAAGGTATGCGCAGTGCGCACTCGCATGTCATATGGAAATGATCAGCAATAAAGTAGATGACTTCTACACGAGATATCAAATACCAGTCAGATTGCAAGTCGAGCTGTTCAATCACACGCAGAACGTATGCCAAATTCCGCCGTCACTAGAACAAATTCCACAGAAGAACTACGCAGCGGATATCCCTACCCCCGAGGTGCCAGTTCAAATCGACCCAGCATCCGAGTCATTTACTCAAGGCCCTCTACTGCACGTTCACCCGCTGTTCTGATGGGCAGGGTGCCGAGGTGGCCGTGCGTGCGGCGTGCTAACGGTTCCCGAAGCGCCGCCCCTTCCGACGAACACGGATCTGGGTATACGTCAGCCTGGCCCGGACGCCAAACAATTATTGCAGGCCGAAGAACGGCCGGCGGTGAAAACGCGAGATGGCACTGCAACTCGCCGACTGTAATTGGTTGCCGAGTGCGTCATGCATCGCCGTCCGGGTTCGTCTCATGGAAAGTCGCCGTCGTTTGGCGCGGCAAATAATGGGTGTTGTGCCTTTCGGTGCCGTCCCCGGCAGTTTGCAGAACAAGGCACGGCTGTAATTGCGGGCCAAATGGACGGGGTTACTAACAGGTATGTGTGTTCTGACACCGGCCCAAATGGACGGGGTTACCAACAGATCTGTGTTCTAACACCGGCCCAAATGGACGGGGTTACCAAGAGATGTGTGTTCTGACACCGGCTCAGGCGGAAGATGGGGTGGCGAAGGGAAGCGGCGCACGGCACCTCCTGGTCAGACCGTCACCCAAATACCGCTCACTACAGCAAGCACTGTGCAAATGCAACGGGTGAACTGACTGATATACTGGCTGGCTTGCCAGGAACTCCAGCCAGGGACTTTTATTTGTGCTTAGCAGCAGATTATGTCTCGAAAGTATCAAAGTAGTGACAAAGTATGATGCATGACGACTAACAGAGATTAACATCATTTACATCTTCAATTATGTCGTAAATGGACATTTTTGGCGGTTCGCATTTCCAAAACGGTGCTGTGTCATTTTTGTTCAGTTTTGCACGATAGGATGTCTAAAACAAGTTTCTCCGAAATAATCCGATCAGGCTTAAGAAAGCCGTCAATATTTTCCACTTATGACTTAGAGACTCAGATGTTTTTGGATATGTGGTCGAACACCCACAAGGATCAATATTTAACGAATGTAACTACTTGCGTGTTTACTCGATCGACTTTTATTTGTACAAATAAGCTAACAGATTTTCAACAGTATCCTACATTCGCTGACATCACCGCAGGCCTGTAACTGTTTGTAAATCACCTTGTCAATTTTCGCATTTTCCCCTCCGCTGCACGAACATGTGTTGAATGAAAATAAGGCTATAGAACAACGCAAGGCCTAGCCTTGTGCAACTGTCACTTTCTACAGATGTACATTGTACATATTCACCGAACTGACCGCAACTTTCCCGGCTAACGGATCACGTGTACCTTTCTATACATATGCCTAATACCGGTGCATCCGAATAAAGTTCGTGCGCAATGTTAGTTTCTTGACAAGTTTCGTTGCTTTTTTAGTGGGTGTGTGTGTATATGTATGGTACCCACTACTCAGCTATGGCTAGTTTGCACTTAGCATTAAATCGTGCCCCTTTTAAGTCACTGATGACGTCATAGCTCTATCTAATATTTTTAACATCCAGGCAAATAAAAAAAATGGCATTGTAATTAGAAAGTAATGTCGTCTTTGCCGTTTGATGCCGTTTCCTGCAGAGTGTAGTGAAGGTCAGGTCTCGGTGAGGTCAAAAGGTCAAATTTCTATCCTTAAAATCTGAACACAGTTTAGTTAAAAAGTGAAAATCGTGTTAAATTAATACCAGCTCACAAAATATGATTTTATCGAATTATTTTAACTTACAAAAGCTGCATCTGTCAGCATGAGATATCCTCATTGAATTAATTGATTATTTTCTTTGCAGAGCCTGCATACAATTGCAGACCTAGCTCAAGACCAGCCAACTGAATCATGCACCTTCCTTATCAGAGAACGATGCCCTCCGTATCAGACATTCTGAAATTGATCCCACTGACGAGTTTTTACATAATGCTGAGCATCAGCCACCACAAAATGCCTCCGTTAAGACTGCTGCCCTCGGCTTGATGCGGCTGTTGCCTGATGATTTATTGATGGCTTCGATGCTCGTTTCGCCGTATGGCAGCTGTGGATACGACACTCTAAAAGCCAGCGGGGCCAATGGCCATTCCGGCGCGGGGATGAGACGAGGTCCAGGACCTGTACAAAGCCTGTTGCTATGCGAAAGCCATGGAGGAGACCGTAGTTGAAGGCGACCACTGACCACAATGGTTGATCTATTTAGGGCCTTGGGTTGATCATCCTCGAAATGCAAGCGGCTTCGCCTACCGTGATCAGTCTTGGGAAAATAAACGAGCAACGCTAACGAAAATGATAACAGACCCAATGAAATAGAAACCGATTCAGTGATTGAACCAATTGAATTGAATAACTAAATAGCTGAATTTATTGACGTAATGTGACGTATGTACGTCACTCACCAGTCAGTCGTATCCCCCCCCCCCTTATTATTTGGATGATTGGTTTTGTCTCAAGTATAGACCACGCGGCCAGCAACAGCTCCAGCCGCCTGTGACGAAGTCCTTCGATATTCCGAGCTACTGGAGCAGCGTAAACTGAAATCATGAGCTGGATACGCCCACCAGACAACAGGCCGAAGAACTATAAAATCCTGCTAAAAATAGCAAGCCGGTAGGATCTTCGTCAGACGACAGCCGCCGCTTTCTGATGTAAGCCACTCAGCTCCTACTCCATTTGATATCAATGAGCGCGGTTGAAAGGCCAATGACAACGTTCCTACTCACTAGGCACGCAGCAGTGAAACTAA